CCATTACATATTACTGGTTTTGAAGTTCAGCAGTAAAGAAATATGCCTAACATTGCTGAGTCCATTGTATCCCATGCTTATTTCACCATAACAGAATTTTTTCTTGGCGATAACAATTTTTGAAAATTGCTGTTACTAGACATGCATTCTGTAAACCCAACTCCCATCCCAATCTGTGCCTAGACACAAATGTCAATACTTATTTGTTGTTTATATTATTGTGAACTAAATGGATAGATCAATATATCTTATCTGTTGCCATTTATGCCACTCTAGCTCACCAAAAGCAAACTTGGCATGACTAAGAACTGTGAGACAACTTAGGAACTAATTAGTAGTGAAAGAATTGGCTTCTACAAAAAGTAAATAAACACCACAGTACATGATACCTTACAAGTAAACGTAGGAAAACACTATATCAAACTTTGGTTTGCTTTATGTGACAAACCAAACTTTAAGTCAATAAATCCCATTTGGTGGAATTAGAGAGAGGAGAAAGAATAGTGTGAACCCAGTTTACTAGTAGTTTAATTGCAGATTTGTGTAATTTTAGAGTTTAAAATGCATCTCAGCTGATGTCATTTCATAACACGAGGATGAATTGTTAGTGTTCAGAGCACAGATGATGGCTCATCTTCCAGGCTTATCCTCGTCTCATTTCATAGAGGCTGTGACACAAACCTATTTACTTAAACCTTCCATTACATACAGCAGTGTCCTGACATGATCCATTTTGAAAGTGAGCTAATGAGATACTCAAGCTTATCTTATTATTCTAAAGTACAAAATAATATAAACAATGAAAACCATTAGATATGGAATAGCATTTCTATACAAATAAAATTTAAAACACTGTACATATTCTCACTTGTAACAGAAAGACTACCTACTCAATTTATCTGATCATATGACTGCTTTGCTTTTACATTTTTCCTTAAAAATTTTATAGCCAAGACTGCACTAATTTATTTACCAAATAGAATAAAGATGTAATATGCAAATGGCCCTTATGCCTGTGAAACATTAACAACCGACTGCATGCAGCAGGAGGTGGGGCAGCAGGCTACAAGCAGGCAGCGGAGAGCTACAGGAGGGGGCAGGGCAGCAAGCTATAATGGGGGAGGGGGCGGGTAGAGTGGGGGGTGGGGAGAGCTACAGGAGGGAGCAACGAGCTACTGGCATAGGGATTTGTGTGAAGGGCTACTAGTTGATAATAATCTTCCTTCCTCTTAAAATGTCACAATTATTTTTTCCTTTCTTTAAACATTTTTTTAAAGAATTAATTTTAGAGAGGGAGGAAGGGAGAGGAGTTTAAGGGATGGGGGTGGGGGGAGGGAATGATGTGAGAGAGAAACATCAATTGCTTGCCTCTCCACCAGGACCGAATCTGCAGCCTGGACATGTGCTCAGACTGGGAATTGAACTGGCAACCCTTCAGTGCCCAGAATGACGCTCAACTGAGTCACACTGGCCATGGCACTTTTTTTTTTTTTTCCAAACCATTAATAGTATTCAAATATACTAAAATTTAAGCCAGAAATTAATTTATAGGCAAACATTTTAAGCATTATTTCTGCTGTGACCAAAGAAATATTTTGGTCTCTTTTTATATTTACAAAAAATATATATCATTATCTCTGATTAAAGTAACTTATCTTTTACCTTCTGACTTCTAGCTATTGCTACCAAACATCACCTTATTTGTTTATTAACATTAATGTACTGCTAGAGAACTAGACTCCAAGTATAAAATGATAGATGCTAAAATAGTGTTTTGGCAATAGCTAATATTCTGTTAAGGGTCACTGACAAGATTTTCATCGTGGCTAAAAATAACCCAACACCCTTCTGAAGTACCAATATTAAACCTGCTAAAGGGGATTGGGGGAGTAGATGAAGCACTGATAAATGTGTGCAAATGGCTGTGAAAATGAAAATGACTGTCATTAATAGTATCCTTTTAATACCTTCAAGTAGAAAAGCAAAAGCCAAACATTCATTATTAATATACAGCATATGGTAATCAAGTGTAATTTTCATTGACTCCCTGGTTAGTATTATTATATTTGCAAGTATAAGTTTTTGGTATTTAGTGAATTCCTGGAAAGCACCAAAAAAATAACAATATTCTGCAAACTCTTTGTTATCTATTGGCACAAAGCTAATACTCCAAAGGAAAGGAAGAATATTAACTGACTAAATGTGTATTTTTAGGGTCTTATTTCAAGCAATTTAAATTGAGAGGTTCCTGTAATTATGCTCACAGAGTCAGGGGCATGTCTTTATCTATTACCAGCCACTGGGGAGACCATTTATCTTACCAAAATGCTAAGATAAAAGAATTATAAAAAACGAAGTCAGTTGACAATGCTAGTAATAATGGGTCATCTGGCTTCAAATTTTAATGGTAGTCTGTATGTTCTCTCTTGTTAAGGAAATCCTGGTACAATGTTGGTTTAATATTATTTCACAAGGTAAATGTATATTAAATCATCAATTTGTATACCTTAATATAAACAAAATGTATACAATATATACAACTATCAAATATATCTCATAAAAATGTCAAGACTTATATGGTAACAAATTTGGTTTTCTCTAAATCAATAAAATACAGTACTTCATTTTAAAATCTGAATGGTAAAAATGAGAAAGATAAAGGCTAAGAACAGGTTTGAACATGGTTTATAAAATTAGGAATGGACATACATGGGTTTACTAATTGATTTGAAAATATCTTAGAGGAGTTCAAATTCACTCCACAACCCAAACCTAGTCTGCCTCTTAAATATGTTTTTTTTTTTTTACATTTTCTAATGGCAAAAATAAAAAAATAAGATTGTGTGATACATGAAAATTATATGAAATTCAACTTTTCATGTCCATAAGAAAATACTTTTATTGGTCCCTGGCCACGCGCATTCATGTATGTATTATCTATGGTTGCTTCCACACTATAATGGCAGAGCTGAGTAACTGCAACAGAGACATACATGGTGCTCTCATTGCTTTGCATTGCTGCCTGGCATGTTACAAATTAAAGTGATGCAATTTATAACTACTAGCATTTTGAATGGCACATAGATTGTCATACTACAACATTTTAAAGTTTTCAGTGCATACCAATAATGTCAATATGAGAGAGAACTTCAGGTGTCATGTTAAATTTAAGGCATAGTGAACGATGGGTTATTTTGTTATTGCATTACGTGGCAAAGCATTAACATGCAGTGACACTGTAGCTGTACACACACACACACACACACACACACACACACACACACACACACACTCTGGAATTACCAAACTAAGTATTCTCAATTTACAAAATGCAGTGATCAGAGAAATTAGAAAATTAAAACAAGTATCTCATCACAGCAAAATTTATTTACAAAAATGAAAATAAAGCTGTAAAGTAAGTTTCGGAGTGGCTCATCTGTTAGCCAAGCAAAGAAAGCTCTTTCACCAATGTTAAGTTCATTACATTATTTTTGACTCATCAGTTGAAGAGATGTATCCAAAATAAACTTGCTTAAGACTATTAGCTGTTTTGTCAAGAACAGTTGCTTAAAAGAATTGAGAATACTGGGAACATCAATGTAGTCAATAAAAACAAACAAGGCAAATCAAATGATTCTGAGTGGTTTCCCATGGTTCTTGGTGAATCAAAGATGTTACTGATACTACCTAGTGATTGTTATTTGATAAGTCAATGCCAAGGTTGAAGTGTCTGAAGAGTTAGTGTCCATGAGTACTATGTATGGAACAATTAAAGGCAAGAATATTTTCTAAGAAGTTAAGAAAGCATGGTTTCAGGACAATCTGAAGTAGAATTTGCTAAGATGTGTTAGAACTGGTGATGGTAAAAATATGTGTGGAACAAAAAGAAGACTTAGTTGGTTAAATTTACAAAGCTTATAAAAATATAAAGTGTTAAAACCCATGGCTATTTATGTATTATTCATCAGCAGGTACTTTGTGAAATATATTTGACTCAAATCTTGTGTTATTGAACTAATACCGTCACCCAGCAATTTGCTGGCTTAGCAGTGGTAGTTTTATTGTTTTTGAGCTCAGGGCTGATATTGAAATTTTTCTGAAGAAATACCCTCAACCACTATCTGAAACACTAAAGGGCTTCGGAATTTAGCTTTTGTTGCAGACTTGACAATGCTTTTTTTTATTAATTCAACTTAAAATTTAACCAGTTCATCATAATGAGAGCAGTCATCCCCTCTGTATGTGGATTCACTGGGATTCAGGGAAAGCCCCCAGACTCAAGGAAAGATCTGGAGCTGTGATTCTCAAAAGGAAGCCTTCAGTCCACCACCACCAGCAACCGCACCTGACTGAGTACTTATTAGAATCACAAATTCTACTGAATTGAAAGTTCTAGGAGTATAGCTAAACAGTGTTTATATATGAAACATACTAATGTAATTCTGATGACAACTACATTGTTTGAATTATGAAGTAACATCAAGCTGCTTTATATATTTCCTATGCTATCAAAACGTAAGACAATAAGCGAGCTCTCCATTTTCACATAAATCTGCATCAGGTTTTCTAAGCTCAAACTATAAGTCCAAGTGGATTTTTTGGACCCTGATGCAAGTATAAAGGAAATTTCCATTTCCTAATAACCATTTAGTTGTGCAATCAAGGAGCATCAACCTAACCTTCAACTGGCAGTGATAAATCTGCAATGTAATAACATGCTAAAAGAAAATTATCAGAAGAAGGAATGTAACAGAATTCTATCAATGCCTTCCAAGTGATAAATATGCTAAATGAGTATCATATTCTTTTCATGAATTAACATATGTATTTGGCAATACCTATCTGTATTTCATAATACTTCATATTTTTCTTTAAAATCTACAAATGTCTTAATAGGTTAAGACATTTCCACCTTATAAAAACCACACAACACAACAAAACAGAATCAATTCTAATATGTAACCCCACAAAAGCACTGATTTTATTACAGAACATACATGTCACTGAGTAAAGCTCTTTTTTATGAACACATTTGGAAAGCTCCCATTGAACTCGAGTACAGCTCTATTGTCAATCTGAGAGCAGAAGGACACATCAAGTAGGGAAAGATCTTTGCATGATTCCAGGAGTTTTCTTAAGGATACTGGACTTACCATTCTTGTTCCTGTTCAAAAAAACAAAACCACAAAAAACACTTTAAATAGAATATATAATGTTCTCATAAAGAATAACTTTATTACTGATTGTTTAAAATACACTTCAAATAAATTTCCTTTTAAAAATTAAAAGCATTTCTTAAAAGACTTCATATACAAATAGTCCTGTAAAGAAATACGCACTGAGTTTTCCCAGACAATTTGGCATCTCATTCCCACCTCCTGCCCCTTCTAATCAGCTCCTCCAGACTTTCCTATTTCTGTCACCCCAGTTCAAAACCATTTGAATCTCTTTTTCCTCATCCATGGCAGCTATGCTTACAACCTCCAATTCCATACAATGCAATTACTGAGCAACTACCCTGTAGAAACTTGTTTAAAGCATTGGAGATTCGAGGAACTCAGTGACCAGGGTTGAAAGCTATTAACTACAACACGACTTGGTAAGTTTTACAGCAAGTGATGGCTGTAAAATGGCAGTACTGGAAGACAGATGATAGATGATGAGTACTAGCTAGCCCACATTATATTTGAAGTAACTATGGGATATTCAGATGGAAGCTAAATTATCACCAGGCTATAAGACGTCATCTGTTGGAACATGCTGTTCTTTAATTGTAGCTTTAAAATGGGGAAAATATCACAATTGTATTAGATGTCTACTGGGGTGGGGATTACAGTTTCTGAAATGTTAACCCAGGCCTTTTTTTCTGAGAACTTCTTTCTCCTCCTCTCCCTGACATAAGCTGTGGAAGCTGCAACTACACAGCTACCCAGACTGTGACTGGCCCCTCACCAAACCAATGTAGATTCTCCTGAAAATTTATCATTGGAATTCAGTAAAGCCTTTTGTGTCCATAGATCCTTAAAACTAAAGATATGGAGAACTGGCTTGGGTCTGTTATATTTGGCCATGTCTACTTAGAGAAGCAGAGATAACACGCAAGACAAAAGAAAAAGGCAAACCAAAGTGAGAAGCAGACATAAAAGACTGTGTGTATAAAGCTGCAGAGGCAGGGATGGGGCAGGGAAAAAGGAAGGGAAAACAGAAAATAGCTTCCCTGTTTTTTGACTGTTTTCCATTCCCTCCTGAAGTTGGACCATAGCTAGCTCCTACTGATGCTGGATTTACCACTGCATGATTCTGAGGGAGAAGGGATCTGAGGGAGACACTTGTATCTTCATAGTAATATTTTTCTTATGCTTAAGCTATCTTGAGTAGGTTTCCGTTGTGTAAGACCAAAGAACGTCAACTAAGACACTTGGCTTTGTGGTTTTTTGCTTTGTTTTGTTTTTACCTAGGATCATGTTTATTTTATCTTTGCCAGTCTTGGTCATTACAATCTGAATTTGCTGATAAGTTAGAAGTTCCTAAGAGAATGCCAGGGAAAGAAGTTGGATAGTGAAGAACTAACTAGGCTACAGTCCCCATCCTAGGTTGCCAGAGCACTTCCTATCAAACCAAGCAGTCTTATCAGGACAAAATTTTCATTGCATCCAATTTTATGTTTTTTTGGTGTGTGTGTGTGTGTTTTGTTGTTGTTGCTGTTGTTGTTTGTTTGTTTTTTTCCCAAAAAGTCTGAGTCAGCTCTTATGTCAAGGCTTTAAAACAAACTGATATATTGCATCCTTACCTAGTATGTCCAGTTGCCGTAGTCTGGTACAATTACATGCCAGTTCCTCAATGTCTGTGTCACACACAGACCTGTTGGCCGTAAGAAAGAGTTTTTGCAAGTTTGGGAGCTGTCGTGCCAGTTTGGCAAAGCACCCAGTGCTGCTCTGCAGAGTAGGACACCAACCGAGGTCAAGTTCCTCCAGGAGCGGACACCCAGATGCCAGCTCCGCTATCCCGTTCTCAGTAATGTTCTTGCAGCGCCACAGATCCAGGGTGCGCAGTTTTTTACACTTGGCCCCTATCATGCTGGCGATCACATCATAGTCTTCAATCTGGAAGTCAAATAATTCCCATCTTTCACATATTATGCTCAGAAATATGAACAGTTTGGAGAGCAAGTTAAACATTCTTAATCATCCCCTATTGTTTGCTTCCATGTAAATATACTCACATTCTCATTAATATAGATCTGCCCACTCATCTCACAGACCTGCCACTGCTTCATAAGACAGCAAGAGTAATCACTTACTTAAAAATCTATTTAACAGAATTCCAGACAGAGGACGTTAATGAATGAAATCCCAAAGCAGTTTGAAATCCTCAGTCTCTTGTGAAGAATTTGGGGATTCTGAGCTGTTCCTGTATGCCTTCCAGTTTGGTCTTGCTGCTGCTACTCACTGACAAGGTCTAGCTTCTTATATTTTAGATATAATTAATCAACTTTGGGAGATACATAAGATCTCTCTGATAAAGGTGTACACTTTACTAGGCTCTAAAACAGTATGTGAATATGCTGACAGTACTAATAAGGATATTAGTTGTGGTTGAAAGTAGACATTTGGGGACTGAATATACAACACACACAAAATTTAGATTATGTATGTTAATCACTGTCATTTTACAGGAGGTATCCAATGATTTAGCTCAATATCACACGATAAGCCTTTATTAACCAAGGATTAAACAATTAAGTTCATGGGCTTTATGTGCTTTAATAATGTTTCTTTAAGTAGGTGCTTACATTTTAAGAGTTTCACTTGATTTTGTTATAATCAGGTATCAAAATTATCACCAGAAGTCAAAAGGAAACAAAACAAACACTCAGATAATTTCCTTTTGTTTATTTGTTAATCATATTCTCCATTACTACTTGCCAGCACCATTCCAGATGCTAGGAACAACAGTGAACCAACAAACACTCTGTTCACGTTTTTAGGAAAGATATTCGAATAATGAGCAAAATAAATTCAGAGAGTGGTAAGTGGTGTGAAGGTAGTAAAAGAGGGTGATGTGAGAGCAATCAGAGAGTTAGGAGTTAGCTGAGGGAGGGCTGCTATGACCTCGAGGGTGAGCTCAGTGCCTTCCGGGAACAGGAAAGAGATAGGTAGTGAAAGACATGGGCCTGGGTAGTGAAAGATGGGACAGGCTGGGAAGACAGAGTTATGCTGGGGCCAGGCCATTAGGCCATGAAAGCATTTGATTTTTATTTTAAGTGCTAAGGAAATTAATGGAGAATTAGAAACAAATATAATTTGTATGAAAACAAACAAAAATCCCTCTTTATTCTATCTGAAAGAGGGTCTATGGTGGGTAAGAATGGGGGCGGAGGCCCAGTGAAAAAGCCTGCACTAGCTTAGAGGAGAGATGACAGGTTTGGGTTAAGGAAGTAACAGAGAAACTAGAGAAGTAGACAGATTTGGGGATATATTTTGAGTCAAAACCTAAGGCTTATGGACTAGATATAGTGGTGATAGTGTCTGGTCTTTAGCAACTGCAGAAGCCACGAGAAACAAATTGGAGAGGATATAACTATTCACATCAGTGAGTGTACCTGAATAACACAGACCTGTGGTGCAGCCAATTTGCTTCTTTAGAAAGAAACATTCAAAATTTCCTGAAACCATGATTCTGATTGCTATTATTTTGATACTCAGAAATAAAATAGCCAACTGACCTTTTGGTCAATTGACAGAAAAGAAACTGAGATAAATATAGCATTAAAGTATCAACAAAGAGCTATCTCTGTTGCCGTTCTGGTAAACTCTAGACCTGCTGTGAAGTAAGAACTATGGCAGGAATAAAATATTTTGATTAGGATGATAGTAGCAATATTAGTCTTATTTCTGAACTTTAATGTCAAGTCTTTAATATTTAATTTCCTGACAACAAATATCAATAGTAACAATATTTTATTAGTAATTACATACTTTAATTTAAAAGTAGCTTATTTTTCTAAAAAAGCATTTACCATAGTGTATTACATATTAATAGAAGGAAAATATAATGCTGAATTAGTGGGCTCACTACACTATTTCCAGAAACTAGCGTGGGCCTGGGCCCATAGTTAGGCTTTAATCAGGCTTAATCACAGAATTTAAACTACAGGGACATGGTGACTAATGTGTCATTTTAATTGGCCTCTCTAACCTACACTCCCAAACCTTAAGGCATTTCTGAAGCTACTGTTGAGCTCTAAAAAATGTTTAATGGGATCTACTTTTTGGTCAGTGCCTGTCCATGTTGATCCCAAGTCTAGGAACCGTTCTGGAATCTTGCAACCATCCTGCTTATTCTGATCTTCCTGGTAAGTGGATGCAAAACTGAAATGGTTGGGGATCCTTTAAATCTGCCTTGAAGAGGAATGGATTGCTCACAACTATACTGGGAGATGCATTTCCTGGAAATGTGAGCATAGATGCATGCCACACAAACACAATAAGAATTCTATAGTCCCTTGAGTGTCAATATTATTTATAAGTCATGTAATTTAGATGAAAAAGATTTAACTTATCCCATGAGCTCTTTCAATGGCCCCTAAAATACTCATTTTAAATCTGGAAGGACTATATAGACTATCTAGTCATGCAGTCCATAGGCTTTTGGATTTCATGGACCAGTAAACAAACAAACAAAAAACACCTGAGTTCCAACACAGAATAACCACTCTTTTATCTCACCCAGTAAAGCCAGTAACACAAACAAAACACAAAATAAATCTACTATCGTAATATCAGAACTTAAAAAATTAATTAAGCTTTGTGAAAAACTCACTCAACTACTGGCATTTGTGTATGATTGATCATTTATTTTATAAAAAAAAAACAGAGAAGTAGATGACTTGTCTGAAATAACATCTGACTTGAGGCAGAACCAAACTCTTTTTACCACACTATACTTCTCTTCTTGCTCTAAAGGCTAAATAATGCCAACGTTTCAAAGACATAGTCTCCCCTTTAAGAAAAATGTTTGAAAGTGAGGTCCAATAGTTAACTGTAAATCAGAAAAGCTGTGGGTGGGGAATGGGGTGGGATGAGTCAGGAAAGAATTCACCCAAGGGGAGAAAGAGAATGAGCAACTGAGAATAACAAATTTTCAAATACTTACCATTACACAACTACCCAAACTGAGGTGCTGAAGCTCTGAGCAGAAGTTCAAAATGCTGAGCAGTGCTGTTTGCTGCCCCAGGGACCACATCAGAGGCAAACACAGAAAGTGAAAGAAAGTGAAACAAAGAGAAGAGGTCAATTAGACATTAAAGGCTGTCACTATTTCTCCTGAAACAGAGCTCAAAACCTAGGTTACAAGACACCACAAATGCCATTTAATGAGTCCCCAGGTGCTCCCACCATTGATTGGCTGGGAGTCAAGGTAATCATTACCAGCCTCCAAGTAAGTTGTCACTCTGCATGTGGTTTTGCATGCCCTAAAGATACCTGTATTTCCCATGACCTCTCATTTCATTTCCCAAACGTAAGCAATTTGAAAGTCTGGTTAAGGCTGAACAACAAGACAAGCTAAACAACCTCCCCCGCCAAAAACAAACAAATAAAAAAAACCCACAGTGGGCTAGTGACACTCTGAGGAACAGTGTCAGCTCTGACATTCACCGATCAGCGGCAGCCTGATGGAACTGCCAATAGAGTTGCCCGAAATCAGGATTGAGCTGGTGACTTTAATGTCAAAGGATTCTCTCTGCTGACAAGGATCCCAACAACCATTGAACACCTGTCACTAGCAACATGCTGACTGAAACATATTTAATGTGCACTTTCTAGTTATGTTCCTGCCATTTCAGCCCATCTACCCATGCAAGGCAATAAAACACTCTCATCACTCAAGAAAGCCAAAGAAATACTAGACTGTGACATAATCTTGATAACCAAAACATTTCTAAAGCCATAACTTCATTTGATGACACGTCTGCCATGAAAAGTTATATAAAATAAAAAAAAACATCAAAAAACAACAAAGCAAAACATTCAAATTTCTAATTTTTATATTCTAAATGAAGAAAAAAGCTACTCCAACTTTGTGGCAAAATTTCTTTCTATACATTTGAACTAAATCATACCTAAGAAAGTTAAAATACTATAAAACCTATGTTTAATCTGTTGCAAGTGTCCAGAATCTGAAAAATATTAATTGGGGAGAGGATGAGGATGACAAATATGTCAATGACAACACAAAACATCGGTTCGACCCCAGGTAAGATTCTCAATAAGAAAATAACATAGTGAAATATTTCATATAAAATAAACGTAAGGAAAATAAAATAACTCTAGTTATTATGGGCCCTAGAGAGATACTAGACTTAAGACTGGTTCACTGTTGAGTGTTTCTTTAAATTTAAGAAAAAAGTTTATATTGATTTCATACTTAAGTTTTAACACAACTTATAAAAGGCAATCCCATGTAGCTCTCAGAATGTTGGCAAATAGAAGACATATATGAAGATAAGTTTTTTTTTTAGATTCTTCATAATACTTAGCTATTTTAACTTATTAACAGATGGTGGAATGACATGGTTTGTTTTTATTAAAGTATCAGATTCTTACAACAATGATGCTTTGTAAGGTTTTTCCATGAGCAAGATCCAGTACATATTAGAGAATTTTTAGAGAGGATTCCACATATTCTTGTAAGAAAATTTAAATTAACGCGCATGCGTGTACACACACACACACACACACTTCATCATAGAACTTGTTTGATAATTTTTTAAAAATAATTTCAAATATACAGACAAGTATAGAGTCCGTATAACAAACATCCATTTTGCCTTCTTTGCTTATCTTTCTCTATTTGTGTCTCTCTCCATCCATTCACATACTTCCTCAGAGGTAACCTTTATCAGGATTCAGTGTTTAAAAACATGCCTAAAGATTATGTAATTTTATTATACAGTATGTGTCCATAAATAGCATATAATATTGTTCTCCATGGTTTTTATATAATGGCATTTTATTATGCATGTACTTCTGCATCCTCCTTAACAGTGTTTGTGAGGGTTTTGTCCATGTTGATACTCACAGCTTTAGTTCTGACTTAATTGTCTACTATTCCATTATGCAAATATAATACAGCATAACTTACACTCAAAGAATATTTAGCTTGCTTACAAGTTCTACCATAACAAAGAATGTTAGAATAAGCATTCTTATAGTGCTTCCTGTGCATTTATAAAAGAGTATTTCACTAGAGCACAAACTAAAGTAAGAATTTCCAGGTGTTTATGTATGACTGACGTTATTAGGTTTTTCAAAATAGTACTCGGAGTGATTGTATTAATTGACACTCCACCTGCTGTGTAAGAGTGTGGGGTTCCCGCATTTCTGCCAACATATAGTCTTCTCATCCTTGCTATTATCTGTCTGATGAGTATGGAATGGTATAATTTGCATTAGTATAATTGCTAGTGAGTTTGAAAATTTTTTCATGTTTATGGGCCAGTCATATTTCTCTTCTGTAAACTGCTTAATTATATATATATATATATATATATATATATATATATATATATAATTTTTTTTGTGTGTGTGTGTCTAAAGTTTTACGTATGTCTCCTTTTCTCCCAATTGACCTCTCCCCCCTCCACAGCCATTCCTTAATCATATTCTTTACTGATGTTTCCATTAGGTTGTTTCTTCCTTCTTGACTTGTAGGAATTCTCTTTTTATGATGGATACCAATCTTTTCCAGTTACATGCATTACAAATATCTTCCCTAAATCTAAGACTTGTTTTTTTGCTTTGCTCAGAATCTTCTGAGACATGAAATTTTAAATTTTAATAAGTCACATCAATCTTTACATGTTTATTCTGTTGTCTTTTTGAAAAGTCCCTCTTTGCTCACAGAAGGATATTCTTCTATTATTATTTTTGAATGACAACTTTAATTTTTTTCTTTTTTGCACTTAGGTTTTAACCCAACTGAAATTGATTTTTATACATGGTAAGGTACCAAATTTCATGCTTTCTCCTTAGGAATAACCATTTGTCCCAGTTCAATTTACTGAAGAGTCTATCTTATCCACTGATTTGTAATGCTTTCTGTCATATATCAAGTTCCCTTGTATGTGTAAGTCTACTTCTGAGTCATTCTCTTTCACTGGTCTGCTTGTCTTTTCCTACACTGACACTTCAATCTTAATTATTATAGTTTGTAGAAAGTCTATAAATCTAGTAAGGAAAATACCCTTTCTTAATTCTCTAAAACACTAAAGAGCCTTTTGCTCTTTCATATTTTAGAATCACCTTAAAGTTTTTAGTTTACCTTTTAAAAAATATGAAAGATTCGTTTTTCTTTCTTCCCCATGATCATTATTTAATTTACTGGCACTTTATCAATTTGTGTCATAATTATTTATTATATCTAATACCCTCTTCCTGAAATGTTCTTGTTGAAAACTATTTTTAATAGTTCTTTCAGTAAGCATCCATGAGTGGTAAAATCTTAACAACAAACATTTACTGAGTAGTTATTAACATGTCAGCATTGCTGTAAATTCTTTTTCTTAAAATATTCTTTAAATTGTTGACAGTATTACAGATAGCTCTCATTTCCCCCCCTTTATTCTTCTCTGCCCAGTCCCTACCCCCCGCCCCCAGGGCTTCACCACCCTAATGTCTGTATCCATGGGCTGTGCATATAAATATATTTGGTTTATCTCTCCTCATCCCCTCACCCGTACATCAAGGTATGTCAGTCTGTTTCATGCCTCCCTTTTACTTTGTAGGTCAATTGATTTGTTCATTAGATTCCACAAATAAGTGATATTAAGTGATATTTGTCTTTCTCTGATTAATGCTATAAATTCTTTATATACATTAATCCTCACAAGACCCTGTTCATTCATTTAATAAATATTTATTGAATACATACTATGTGTTAAGCACTGTTCTGGCACTTGGGATTTATCAGTCTACATGGCAGAAAATAACCTATAAGGTACACATCATTATTCCCATTTATACATAAGGAATCTGAGTCACAGAAAGTTAATATGTTGAGCCTTTATATAGCTCCTCAATCTTGAATGAAAGGTTAGCCAGGCGTAACATGGGTTCGTTATTTTCTTTCATCATTTTGAAAGTTTTGCTCCATTACCTATCAGTCTCCATTATTTTTTATAAGAAGTCTACTGTCAGTCTAATTATCTTTCTCTGTAAGTAATGTTTTTTCTCTCTGATAGTTCTTGTCCCTTTCTCATTTATATTCTGCAATTTCATCACGTGTCTAGGTAAAATTTTATTTTCATTTATTCTGTTTGGTATCCCAAGTGAACATTTAAATGAAGACTTACATCTTTTTTCATGAACAATTAAGATTCTTAACAATTCTCTCTTCAAATATGGCTTCTCCAACATTTCCTCCATTTTTTCTTTTGGAACTCTTATTAAATAATGAATTTTGGAGTCTCTCAAGTACCAGTGCCTATAGTAGTGTTAAAAATATGTCCATAAATTGGTCTATACTCCTTCCTCCCAGAGGTAAAATGTAATTCTTCCCCCTTTGTGGGTGGATGGACTTAGTGACTAGCTTCTAACAAACAAAACATAAAAGTGACAGTATGTTAGGTTACTGTGATGGCTAATACTATGTATCAACTTGAGTAGGCCACAGGGTGCCCAGATATTTGGTCCAACACTATTCTGGCCATTTCTGTGAGGGTGTTTTGGGTGAGATTAATGTTTAATCAGTATACCAAGGAAAGCAGAGTATTCTCTAACGTTGGTGGACTTCATCCAATCAGTCAGAGATCTGAATAGAACAAAAAGGCTGATACTGCCCTGACAATGAGTCTCTGGCTTCCCAACTCACTGTGTAGGACTTGGGACTTGCCAGCCTCCATAACCACATGAGCCAATTCCTTATAATAAAGATATATTAATATATACACACACTCCCTTTCATTCCTGTTTTCCTGGAAAACTCTAATAGTTGTAAGAGGGCTGTGTGAGCTTAGAAGCTGATCCTTCAGATGCAGCCAAGCCCTGAGATGACTGCCCCCTTGGCAAAAAAGGCTGCACCCCGTTGGGAACCCTGAGCCAAAACTGCCCAGGCAAACACTCCCAGACTCCTGACCTACAGAAATTGTGTGCAGTCATGAACATGGTTTTTTTTAAAACCACTAAGTTTGGGGGCAACTGATAGACAGCAATAAATAAATAAGATATAAGCTACTTACAGCAGTGCCTGATATTTAAGGCTTTTACAAATTTAAGTGCATTCCTCAGACTTCTCTTTCAGCTTAGCAGTTTTTTGTAATTTAGAATTTATCAACTTACTTTTTATTATAATGACTACCATTTATTTTCTAGATTTCTAATCATTCTTTTTCACACCTACATATCTTGCTGGTTTAGACTATTTATAGTCCATAATTTCTTATGTTTATCTTAAAAATATTTTTTTCTTAAATATTTTTATATACTGTTTAAAAATATGTTTTCATCTACCTTTGAACTCCAACCCCTTTGAGTCTTTATTCTTCCCTGTTTAGGGACCTCGGAGATTGCCCCACTCAGAATCAGGATTTCATAATATGGCAGTTTATATGTCTTCCGTAGGAAAAAAGCCCAGGTGCTTTTCATCAACAGGCAGGGTGGTTTGCATTTTTACTTACTTAATTTATAGATATGCATTCTGCCAAATAAACTGCCACATAATGAAGAAAATAGGAGGGCAGTGTTGATATCCAACAGAAGTAAAGATCAACTACTTTTGTTGTCTTCTGGTTCATGAAGATGAAGGCAGCAGGTCCATGAAACTGTTGTCCCAGCCAGTAAACAGCTGCTAAGCCACATTTAGGGATTACTGTCAGATACTAGTCCCCCACAATACCTGTAATCAGTTTTTTCACTCCTTCAGATTCTTTCAATTTATGCTCTATCTTTCTTGAAGTGAGGCAATCAGAACTGGATGCAGGTGTTCCATTTATAACTCCAACTTAAAAAAAAAACACTCTTGGTTTTCTTGTCTGCTGCTAAGCAACAGAACGACATTCTTACTGAGTTACCTGTCATGCCCCATCTCACCCCCACACCAGATTTTTTTTTTCCCCAAACAAAGAAAAGTTAAACAGGCTCCAACTTCTAACACTAATCCCCATTGGTTTAGTAAAAGCACAGGACTTCACCTAAAGACACTTTTTAGGAAGTATGTTAAAAAGTTATTCTTATGCCATCCTTTACAGGTTGTAATAGTTTGCTAGGGCTGATAGAACAGAGTACCACAGGCTATATAGCTTAAGCAACAGAAATTAATTTTTTCATAATTCTGGAGGCTAAAAGTCTGAGATCAAGGTGTCAGCAGGGTTAGTTTCTTCTAAGGCCTCACTTCTTGGCTTGAAACTGACCATCTCCCAGAGTCTTTACATGGTCTTCCCTCTCTGTGTATGTGTCCTGATCTCTTCTTATAAAGACGCCAATCATACTGGATTAGAGCTTACACTAATGGCCTCACTTAACCTTAATTACCTCTTTACAGACCTTATCTTCAATACATTACAAGTTACTAGGAGTTAAAACTTCAATATATGAATATTAGGGTAACACAATTCAGCCCATAACACAGTATTTAAGAGTATGTAGGTTGCAGACATATGCCCCATAGGAGTAAAGGGCAATTATATCTTCTACTTATTTTCAAGTGATTCAGGGGGAAAAAAAAATGCACATAGTAGAGGAACCTACTGGGCCAATCTGGGCCCCCTCGAGGGATGTCCGACTGCTTGTTTAGGTCCAATCCTGGTGGAATTGGGCCTAAATTGGCAGTTGGACATCCCTTTCACAATTCAGGACTGCTGGCTCCCAACTGCTCACCTGCCTGCCTGATTGCTCCTAACCTCTTCTGCCTGCCAGCCTGATCATCCCCTAACTACTCCCCTGCCAGCCTGATTGATATCTAATACTCCCCTATTGGCCCGATTGCCCCTAACTGCCCTCCCCTGCCAGCCTGGCCGTCCACTTTGTTTCCTCCTGCTCCAAGCAAATGTCCTCCTGCATACCATGCTCCTACTCCTTTCTCTAATTCATTCCCTGCCAACATTTCAGCTCACCCCAGCCCATTCCTTATTATTATTATTTTTTTTACCTGGAAACATGAACAGCTTTACAAAAATTTTAAGAACACAGAGAAGAACATTTTCTTATAACTAAAAAAAAAAATAGCACAAAAGATGCTAAATAGTTTTGAAATGACTGAATCAGTTCTAATAATTTTTAAATAGCCAGGTGGCATCATAAACTTAATCTATTTAAAAACCAGAAATCACATTATTATGAGTAACTAAATATTCAGTTGCATGTGACACTAGCAAAGATGTAAATGAGTTATTCTTACCTCTATTTTTGTTCGATAGAGAACGAGTCGTTTAAGGCCACATAATTTGGCAATATGGTTGAAAGCTGGAGGTGGTAGCTTATCGCAGGAAGAGAGATTTAACTCTTGTAGATGTGGACACATCTCAGAAATAATCTCCAAACAAGTTTCATTTAGGAAGTGGCTGCAAGATAATTCAAGACGCACCAATTCGGACCCACAAACTTTCAGAAACCTGTAAAAATATTGTTCTCTGTGAATTTCATAAAAGTAAAAGTATTGCTGCAAGTATTTGGAATTATATCAGCTCTAAACAGACACCTTCAGAAGAATGAATTTCCATGAAGAAAAATGTAAAACTTGTTTCACTCAAATCCTTATTTAATGCATACTAAAATAGGCATAGTTAGGCAAAATAAAGCAACCTGGGAAGATAAAATGGACTCATATCACAAAAAAACTTCAACTAATACTAAGTGAAAAATTAAGAAAGCAGAGTATGTGTTTCTCCAACATACATGAAATTCGCATCTAAGTTAGTAGAGCTAAAAAACAAAACATAACAAAACTCTAAACTCTTGAAAGATATTTCCCCCTACACAGTACCCATTGAACAGTAGATAACTTATTTTGCATGTAATATGTAAAGTGACAGTTTTAATTAAATAACCTCAAACAGATCAGACTAGCCTACTCTTACTCGATAAATTTCTGGGTTAGCTTAACTGTACTGCTGTGATATGCTTCTTGTAACTGTTACTACTTAGCAGTTGGACTGACATTGAATTACTGCAAGATATTCAATTGCAGCTTCCCATAAAATACACAGAAACAATTCAACTTAGAGGACCCAAAGTTCCTTCTTAGAATAAAAATAACAATCTTTATCTTAGTTACATTCCAGATAGGGGAAAACAGTCCTGACCATAATCATCATCTGTAAATAATCTAAAAGTAAATGTGAGTCTAGGAGTATTTGAATCCATGAAATTATCAGCTAAGCAAATTGAATCCTTAAACAGTGCACCAATCATCCCTATCCAGATCTCTGGACATCGTCTTGCCTATTCATGTCACATTAGTTACACACTATTCGTTTATTTATGCCAATCTTTTTCCTAAACAATTTAATGATTAAATACACATAAAAATAAAATTGACAAAATTAATCACTTAAGTAAGTAAAGAAAGTAACACTGGATTTCTAAATCAAAAGTTGGGGTTTTTTTTGTTGTTGTTTTTTTGTCCCGTTCCACTACTTCCTAGCATGTAACCTTGGAAAATGCACTTACCCAGCATTTCCTCGCCTGGAAAAGGCAGACTAAAATTATCTAATAGCACTCACCACACTATCTTATGGTTTTGAACATCAAATAATATGTGAAAGCAGTTTGAAAAGGTCAAAGCACCCCACAAATACTAAAATAAAAGTTAAATCCTGGCCAACTCATATTCAAACAATAAAAACAGTTGCTACAAATTTATTTGATCAGAACTGTTAAATGAATCTTCCAATTATGAAAATTCACTTGACGAATTTAAGTTCCCTCTATGCTGGGACAAAGTTCTACTAATTCAGAGTATTTTTCCCTCAATAGGGTCAAATTATGACCAAGGAATATGACAAAATTAGCATTTTTATTATTATTATTATTTTTTAGTATACTTAGTAGTTTTGGGTAGTTCTTCATTATTTTATAATCTAGCAATCTAGAACTAAATGGACATAAAGTTTCAGAGAACTAATGATATCCTATTTGATTTGATACTTCTGAGATTAACTGCAGCTCACAAAAGTTAAATGAGTATATTAACTTTCTTAAAATTAAAAATTTTAAGCATCTTATCTCTTAAAGGTTTTCATTATTTAGAGAACAAAATACTTTGTTCTATAATGCTTTTTCATATTGGACTTGGGATACTTTAACATCCCTCTTTCCTTGCTCTCATTATTGAACTTTTCCCTCTAAAGAATTTATAGTGACATCAAGCCAATCACCAGAAAGCCAACTGTAAAGAGACTAGAAAACTTGCCAAACCGATTTAATGAATGACAGAATTAGAAAGCACAATAATAGCCATGCCTATACTGCCTTTCTGTCTCTCTTTTCCTAAAGTGTATATTTTTACTCTGAGCAGATTTATTTGGTCAACATCCCTAGTCTCTCTTCCTAAACGTACAAGATCTACATTATTTACTTTTTCATAGCAAGTCCATTCCAAGAAGGCAGAAGTAGCAGCAGACCCAATTAATTAGCTGAATATAACTCATTTCCTTTCTTAATGCTGCTCATGTACGTCTTATTTTAATGCATAATTACATGGTTCTCTATTTATTCATCTCAATTGTGATACTGGTCACCTGTACAGAGAACTACAGCTTCCTTAATTCCTATAACCTATTCATTCCAGGTTATGAATTCTCATAAAAGTATTTCTTGATTTGAAGGTATTATGAGAAAACCTAAGTACAGATACACAATCCCAAACAAGGTCTCCTGCTATAAGAAAAGGAGTCTCTGGAGAGAGAAATAAATTGCTTATCCTTATGAGGTGAATTAATTTGTCCAGAGTAATGTAAGCATATAAGAAATAATTTACTAAATTGTAACTTGCATCCTAAAATAATTAACATCACATGAATGAATAATTTAATCTGAGTTTACTCATCACAAAACAGAAGGCACTAATCCCCACAATCCTCCTGATACAAAAAGTAAGAGGAGAATTAGATATAAATATCCTTCACCCTGATTCCTAATCTTATGCTTTGTTAGCTGACCCTCATGGAGTTTTATAAAATAGCACATTTAAAATCATTTTTTAATCTCAAATAACTTGGAACATTATTTATTACATCTGGTCCAAAATAAAGCCATTAAAACAAGACTTCCTGCTAACTGTGTATGGTACTATCTGGTAATAGTAGAAAAAAATCAATAAATCATTTCTAATATCTAGATATTGATAATCACAAAGAGACAACTGTTTAAAGAACAGGCAAGCAATTGAATAAACTAATATGTAAATAGGCAGTAAGCTCTTTATCCCATAAAACTGTAGCTCTGTGTCAAGCATCTAATAAAGTTCTTGAATCTAGAAAGTATTCAAGAATGTTTCTGAGAGAAACAAGTGGAAGGTTAGAGTAAATATCTCTGCCTAACTGAGGTGGAGATCACTGTGATCAGTTTGGGTAACTATCTGAAGAAAAATAGTACCTAGGCTTTTGAACATCAGAATGATATGATTAAAATAGCCAAGACTTTAGGGAACTATATTATAAAAGAAAAGTAGAATTATAATATATGGGATTTTAATGAATAATAATAAGCATAGGTAGTACTTAAAGTTGCAAATCATAAATCTATAGCTAGGACAGGATTTTAATAACCGATTAAAAGTTTTAAATTCTTGTTATTTCAATTTAAAATATTTCCCTGCTATTTTGAATAATATGAATTCCTAAAAAATTCTTTAAAATCCAGTGAAGCAATTCCAACTTGTGAGGATTATGTTTTTAGGCAACAAAAATAAACTGTATCAAACTTTTCCCAAAGACTTGCTAAACTAGCAGCTCATCATCATTGGTCTCTAGTCTAAAAATGTACTTTTGTCTTTAAGTATTATAAATAATTCTTCTTCACAGTAATGAGCACAAATAGGCCATACTTATTCATAGGTTATTCATTAATAATCAAGCCATGAATATTTATTGTTTATTCTGGGAATGCTGCCTACAAGCCATAATGACTATCAATTCAGCAGTCAAGTCATGGGGGCCAACAGCAATCAGGAGGCAAAACTTCAGCATCTTCAGTCTCCCAAAAAGATTCCCTCCCTATTATTTAAACATTTTCTTTTCTTAAAGGGAAAAATGACTATGCTTAAAGGAATGCCATCAAGATTTATAGTTTTACCTGCTGAAAACTACAGTAAAATATGGAAAACTGAAATTTATGTATATGTACTTTTGTGATTATTCGAACAGCCCCACAGCAACTAACATGGCTGGATTGAAAATGAAACAGAAATTGCTGGTGAGAGGGTAGATTGGGGCTTTAACCTTATAAAAGAAGAACTTCAGAAATTATGAGTCTAAAATTTTAAAAATAGCATTCCCAAGTTTTCTTCTCACAATTTATATTTCTGTTCATGCATCAGAATGAGTTATATTCAGAGAGTTTTTTAAAATTTATTTAACATTACCTTTACCTTTTACTCATTATAACATTTTTATAGGCAACATTTTTCCAAAGAAGCTGGAGTTTAGCCTTCACTACCAATGTTTCTTTTAATGTCTATTTAAAATACTAGAAAGGTTCTTATAATGTAAAATAATGCTTACTGACACCAACTGTTCTATCTGCTCTCAGTTTGTCTTGGTTTATAATCCATAATGTAGCTCTAAATACCCATAGTCATCATTAACTTCAATTCTTCTTGATCTTATTAGCAGAGAGGAAGATTTGTGAATGAAGTGTGTGTTTGGGCAAGGGTGAGTAGAAAGGACTAAATGGTGTTCCACTAACTAGTTGTCATCGTCTATCAACTTAAAAAAATTCACCAAAACTACACTGCTAAAATAAATTCTTTATTTTTCTACTACAGATAATTCCTCCTAATGAAAAATAATTTGGTGTACAGAGCATGTTATAAAGTCTTCAGAATCTCTGACCCACAATATCATAATATTTTATCGAAGAACCCCTTCCTCTGGCTCTATTTCTGGCAGAAAAGACAGGCTGTCAGTTTATCCATGGTTTCAACATGCATTAATAAGCTATTAAATACTTTGTAAATTTTTCAATTTATTGCATAAACTATCAATATTAGCATTTTGAACACATTTTTATTATTTCAAGCATTATTATTATATCTGAATATAATGGTATCAAATATTTATTTTATTTTATGGACCTTCATGCTTATTTTTATAAGGTAAATCAAGGGGAAACAAGGCTCAATATATAAATTTCTAATTCATAAACCACTGTTCAAGAACATGGCCACTAGGGATGTGTGTCGGGAGAACTGAAGTTCATTTTTAACTTCTAAAAACAGGGAAGATTATTCATTAATCAAAAATAATAGGTAGTTTTCCCAAAGTTTCTACTTATTCATTATTTAGCTTAATGAAATGATGGGATTAGATTGTAACACACTCTGAGAATAACCATCATCAAGATTAAGAGAAAAACACCTGTTTGTACCATAAGAAAAATTGTTATGGCATTACTAAATGAATATGCACTTATGCAAGCTTTACCATGTTTAACAGGTGACATTTAATAGCAAAGAAACTAAATGCTTAAATAGAAAGGAGCAGAAACACCTGGGCAGGTCTGCAAGAGTGGTCGCCTCTTTAGCATGCAATTGCATTTTCAATATAATTAGTTTAAATGTGCTTCTAAATTTGGGTGATGTATTGCACATGTAATTAAGATTTAATTAAAAATGTTCTATAATAAATTGTTTTCCATTTCTGACAAATCACATTAGAGAGGTGGATTTTGATTTAGAAATAGTTTTTTTAAATGTGTTAATCATCTGTCCTGGAAATATGAGAAAGAAAAAAAAAGGAGCTCTGTTAAACTTATTTGGGATTTTAAAAATATGAGGTAAAGGGCATTGTTTCCCTTCCTATTATCATGAAGTGTTGCTAAAAAAGTGAAACTCATCCACTTTTATAAGCAGAAGCATTCTGAACAGGATGATGCACAAAATGTATCCTTTTGTATTTCTGTGAAGTATATGATTTCAAACTTAATTGTGGAAAATACTATATAATAAATGTAGCCTGCTGGAGAAATAACCTCACCAATTTGGCACTAACCTGCTGAATCCTGCAACAGAGATGAAGCCCCTATTGCCAGTCCAAGATAAGTTAAGCCACTGGACGAGAGTGCAGCGAGCCTGCAGAAACTCCAGTGAGGTGTCGTTGAGTTTTGCCCAGTAAGGCTGCAGATTGAGATAGATGTACTGGAGAGGATCATAGCAATGCTGGTTCAGCAGTTTGCAAGTCTGTGCTAATCTGCACAGGTCTGGTAGTGTAAGATGATTCAGAATCAGTTGAATGAGCTACATAAAACAAAGAAACGAGTATCATTAAGACTGACAAACAGATTAGTGTATTCTATAACACTATTTTCACATACTAAAATGATCAACACTGAACTGAATTATCCAAAACAGAAAAAAACCATACCTACTTAAGACTTAATTACAGAAGGAAAGGATCGCTGGGAGTAAGGGGAAGAAATCAAACCAAGGGACTTGTGTACATACATATGAGCCTCATCAATGGTCACAGATAACAGGGGGGGTGGGGTATGAGTGGAGGGTAGGGAGTAATGGAGGAATAAGAACACATATGTAAAATAATAATAATTATAATATTTTAAAAAAGACTTAATTACATATCAAAATGTTCGAAGTACACTCATCTCAAGTCGACTAATTTTTTTTATAATGCAAAGATGTATTTTGGTAATCTGTTGAAAAATACAAATTTTCATAGATTCACTATTTACTAAACATCTACTATACACCAAACACTGCTAACAGAAAAGAGCTCCCACTGTCAAAGTTTTCAGAGTCCAGTAGGGACTGGTAAATACAGAGACATGTTTTAATAGCTTTGATAGAGAGAAGCACAGGCTGCCACCAGAGCCTAACACAAGACAGGGGCCTCACCACAAGATGAAAGAGGACATGTATCAGGAAGGTTCAGCTTTAAAGGGTGAGAGGCAAACTAGGTGAAAAGACTTCCTCTGTCTGGCTTATCTCACTTAACATAATACTCTCCAAGGGGAAAAGTAACCTAGAGATAATTTAAAGTATATGAGAAGGTGTGTTTAGGTTATATGCAAATGCTATGCCATTTTATATAAGGGACGTGAGCATCTGAGAATTTTGGTATGGAGGGTTGGGCTGGAACCAATCCCCAGAGGATACTGAAGGATGACACATAGCTTACAGATTTCTTTTTATGTGCCATAGTGTTCAACTGGCTTCATTAAAAACAGTGATAACTTTTATTTTTCTTTATGTTATAAGAGTTAAAATAATATAGATTTATCTGTTTCTTAAATGCTTGAAAAAATTTAGTAGCTACCTGAGCTCAGCAACAGTAGGACCTTAAATATTTATAAAATGAATTAAAAATTTGTTGTTTTAACTACAGTGTTAAAAGTTATTTCAGTATAATTTTTAAGCAGTTAGTGCAAAGAGGCATTAAAAGTTAAATATATATATTCCTGTATCAGAGGATACATGATTTACTTTTTCCAGATGATTTGTAATTTAAATAACACTCAGCAATTTCTGGCATTGTTCCAAACAAAAGTCACCGATATTAAAAGATGTGTACTATGTGAAAACACTCTATGACAATTAGTATTACATTTTAAGCAAATATCAGAATAGAAAAAGAATAATGAAAAGTCACTGGGACTATGACATTGACATGTGACATATGAAAAAACACTTTTGGATTTTGATTAAATGAAAGGTAACAGTTTTCAGGCCTACAAGACAACATCCATTAATCATTACTAATCTAGTATCTAGTGTCTGTCAAAATGTGCTTTTACATTGGAGTGTGCCTGAACAAAGTACCATTTGATACCACAGTGAATGTAGGACATGATATGTTGGGAACGACTCCCAAAACACAATTTATCTGCTCTCAAACCAACTCTACTCATAATACAATTATTTTCAACTATAAAAACATTAGATCACTTGACATATTTAAATGTGATTCTACCCCCTCCCCCCCGAAATAATCTGCATTACCTTTAAATAATTTGGGTAACATTTTTTTAAAAGAGTTTCTCTTTTTATTCACTGTGAGATCATTCCCTCTGTACATGGCACACTGCTTTCATCACGGCTAATTAATGACCTCGAGGGCTACTGCTTCTATCTCCAGGTTTCCTCTACAGGACTTTGTAGTTTTGATTAAACCCCCTACATGTTTAGGAAACTTTCCCTCTCTACTGCTCCTTCCCTTCAGCATATAAACATGCTGAAAGCTCTCTCAACCTGCATCACAAATGGAAACTTTCTCTGCTGCATCCTCTACCATATCACTCACCTGTCTTTTCTCCCTTTAAAAGATAAGTTAGAAGAGATTTACCCATAACTACATACACTCCCTCATGTTGATATGCCCTTTTTTGAGTGTGACACAAAAGGATGGAGTGTTAGTCAGCATGGCAGTATAGTCTTACCCATATTACAGCCCACAGTTACAGTATATTAACAGAATTATTTTTCTGCTTAAACAAAAACTTGGCCATGTTTTGTCTCTGCTCCTTCCTCCCTCCTTGAAGCCTTAACCAAATATGTTCTCACCCTATGGCATGGCTCCACTGAACTGATCATGGTAAAGAACCCCTCAACAAAACAAGCCTGTGGGCAGTTTTCTATACTTAGCTTCCTAGCACTTTGCTTTTAAGACAACCTCATATTTGTCTTAAGTGCCTTTTCTGACTTACCTTCCTCTACGATTCTTAGATTTTAATATCCCAGAATTCTATTCCTGGTCCTTTGTTCACATTTTACAGAGTTTCATTGGTCAATTTTAACTACCACTAGAGGCCCAGTGCACACTATATTCATGCACCAGTGGGGTCCCTCTGCCTGGCCTGTAGGATCATACCAAAACTGGCTCTCCAACATCCCCCAAGGGGTCCCAAATTGCAAGAGGGCACTGGCCAGGCTGAGGGACTCCACCAGTGCACAACTGGGGCCAGGGAGGGAAATAGGAGGTTGATCAGCTGGGGAGGAACCACTAGGGCAGGTCCGGTCTGTCTTGCTCAGTTCTGATTGGCTGGACCCCAGCAGCAAGGTAACCTACTGGTCAGAGTGTCTGCGCCCTACTGGTCAGTGCACATCATAGCGAGCAGCTGAGTGGCTTTAGCATTATTATTAATATATTACGCTTTGATTGTTGAACGGCTGACCAGATGACCAGACACTTAGCATATTAGGCTTTTATTATATAGGATGATGTCCCTCCCCTCTCTTGAGTAGAATCACTCAAATATAAAATCAGACCTTCCTCCTGAGTTTTAAACTTTTGTCCCCAACCCAACAAGCCTGCTTTGATGAATCACAAGCACCTCAAAGTCAGGATGTCCTTTCCACCTTCACCCACTGTTCTATAATTAATGGCATGTCCACCCATTGAGTCATTTCTACCAGAAATCTAAAGTCCTTTTGATGTTCTGTTTCATCTCCACATTCACTAGTTACCTATGATTTCTACCTTCTACATCTCTGGAGTATTTCTCCCACTCATCTCCTTTCCAAAACTTCCAATACCAAAGGCTTCATAATTTCTTGCTCAAATTACTGCAGCAGCTTCCTAACTGATATCCCTGATCCTTGGTCTATTCTTCATTTACCAACAGAGTAATCTAAGACAGAAATCGCATTTTGTTATTCCCCTTTTAAAATAAATAAAACCTTCACTGTTTCCTACTGACTACAGAAAATGTCCACAATCTTTTTTTTATGTCATGACACATATAAAACACAAAGTTTACATGATACTGAACTCCTAGGCAATTATCTAATTGTGGGCCAAAGCATATGCAAAAATGTCTGCACAGTAAATATAATTCCTGGAATGTTAGTATTTTACATTTTCTCTCCCACTCAAAAAAAAAAAAAGATTACAAAAGAATACAAGAAAGTGAGTGTGAAATTACAAATATGGAAAAGTGAATTATTTAAAGTTTAAAGTATGAATGACTTCCCCAACTGATGTTGCCGTGTACTGGAATAACAGGGCACTCTGAGGATCCCTGGCTGAAAGGAGAAAATGCAGACCTCTTGGTAATACCCACAGGGCTGTCTATGACACAGCAGAGTAGGCGGACACAGCCAAGGCTAGGATGTCCCAATCACTCCTCAATGGGAATGGTGTCCTGTCGAGTTCTGCAGGGAGGCAGCCCTGAGCCTGCATCCAATTTCACCTCTTATAGCTTCTGCTCTCTAATCCTGATCTAGCCACATTGAAATGGACCCATGGCTTATGGATTGAATTATCTTGGATCCTTTAATTTGCCTGTATGTGGAAATTTTAGCTACTTCTCAGAAAATAATTGTAAAATAGCATTTTAACTATAGAATGTTACATAGGCATTATAGTTACTGAGAGGCTATATTATTGTTCTACACAAGTTAAGCTTCATGTGTCATTACAATGAAGCCTGAAATACCCACCAATTTGGGAGTAGTCTAAATTGGCTGAAATTTGAGGCTTTAAATTTTTCTTAGAAAAAAATTTTTTTTATTATATTATTTTTAACCACACACAGAAGTTGTCAGCCAGGGACTGAAATGCTAGGCCCTACTCCCACCCCAGAGGGTGTGCTACAGGCACTTGATGCCTGGGAGCCAGGGATGTTAAATACACTGCAGAAAGGCCCTTACAGAGACACACAGAAAACAAGATGCTAGGCAAAGGCACTCTGTACCTGCCCAGACCAAAAATTATAGCTAGTTAGAAGGAAACAGAATAGAATTGGCATAGAAAAATAAATAACACTTGGAGAAACTTTGGACTATTAAATAGATTAAGCATTCCTCTTGCAATCTTATTAGTCCTCTTATTTTTTATTGCAAATCATCTTTAACTTAACTAGTATAAAGTTAAGCACATATTGTCCATATTTATATTGTATAATTATGAATTGTAGTGGAATATAATTTATTACTGGTTTATATAGTTTGTTTATTTTTAATCAGTGATATAAAAACATATTTTTAATAGTTTATCCAAAATTATTAAAAGTCAGTCCAAAACCAAAGTGGCGAAATTACTCAACATAATTTTGTCTAGTTTTTCCAAAATCAAAATATACATTAGGTTATGTATACCTTACCAATACTTCTATTTCTCTAGTATCTAGCAAAATAAATATTAATACCTAAACTTTAAAAAATAGTTGTGTTATTTACAATATGGGTACTGAATAAATTTGACTTACCTCATAAGGTAGTTTGTCAAAGTATCCATTATTTGGCTCTTCCCCAAGGGTGGTGCTGCTAAGTTTTTTGTTAAGACTGTCCATTCCACAATCATTGTTTTCTTCATAGTCATCATCTTCTAGATCATTCATGTCAATAAGTGAAGTCTTGAGAGAAAGTACTGGCTTGTCCTTCATACCATGCAATACAACTGCATCTAATTCAGTGTAATAATCCAGAAGAGAACTATTTACTTCCAGCCGTATAAGATTTGTGGGAAAATTTATCTGCTTAATACAAGGTTTAAACTGGCGAGCCTGGGAAGCATTCACCTTCGTAGGTCTCTCTGACCAAAGAATCTCCCATCTGCTAAAGAAAGAAACTTCCCTATAATAGAGCTTAGAATGAGATTTACTGTTACCTTAAGGTTATGGTCCCACGCCCAATATGTTACAGTGTGAAACAAAGACATTAAATAAGGTGAAGAGAATCAAATACAAGTACTGTTTCCAGTACATGAAAAAACAAAACAAAAAAAACTTAAGAACTAAACACCATAGACCTTATTGCTTAAATAGTTTTACTACTTAAGTTACTTTTACAACTCCCTGGAAAGTCTTTTTTGAAGATTTCACATTAAAAACTGGAATAGGTAGTTAGAAGTATAGGAAGAACAACGTTCATTTTTTTCTAGAAAAAGCTAAGTAAGAATAAAACACACAGGATAACTACAGCTCTCCTGTGTGCATGTCTTCAACCAACTGTGAAAACTAAACTGGTAATCTTGCCTCACAAAGGTCTTCTTTTCCAGCTTTTCCATTTGTTACTAATATCATACAAAATCAAAACTTTCATTATTTTTGATATTTTTATCACTCATTGTTTTTTAAAATTTTTCATGAAATTATCTTTTTACATATGTCCTTCTTTTAAATTGCCATTACCCGAAATACCCACCAATTTGGGAGATAGCCTGAACTGTTTATACAATATCCTTCTAACTAGTTATAAATTTTGAGTTGGGGAAAGTGAGGAGTGTGGAGTAACCAGGCACCCTGAGGACCACTAGCTGAAGGGATAAAATGCATACTTCTTGGTAAATCCCGCAGAGCCCTTTATGCTACAATGTCGTACTAACTAGCTATAATTTTTGGTGGAGACAGGTACAGAGTGCCTTTACCTAAAGTCTTAATTTTTCTCTTAGTCATACTTGTATCAAGTTAGTTAGCAAGTATCTAACATGTAATGATGAATAACATTTTCTCCAATTTCTCCCAAATGAACTCCTCCTTTCCTGTGAGATTAATCATTACTTTCCAGAAAATAAACTTAATTCCAACATTGTGTCTTTACTCATGTTGTCTACTCCCAATGAAATACCCAACCTACAGATTCAAGGCCCAACTCCTATTCCATTTCTTCATATAAGTCATCAGGTTTTTTAAAATTTATTTTTATTGTTGAAAGTATTATAGCACATAAGTCTTCTTATAAAACTATTTTCCAAAATTACTTAAAGATTTCTCATAAAATATCAAGTATATACTATTATATTTCCACATTTATGTCATATGTAACCATTTCTCTAATATTGCTTTCTAATATATCAAAGAAAGTTAGAAATATAGAAAATACTTCAATAAACACTTTTACTCTATTTCTAACTTACTTTAGATAGCAGAACTTTTTAACAAAGATTTTATGTCAAAGACTAACAATACTTTTACTTACTTTTCTTAATATATACAAGCTGCTTTCAAAGAAGTATATACCATAGTATATAACAATGACCAATGAAATCATTATTTATGTTTAAAAAAATCTCTACTTTCATAGTGAGACATGGCTCTGTATTACCTAATATATAATTCAGTGATTATAAATAACACTTATTTAATACACTTACTAATCATATGAGGATTTTCCACTTTGCCTGTTTATTTAAGTAAATGACCTATTAAATCTAAGTAAAAACTGATTGTGGAAAAGTATTTAGGAAACTGAAATAGACACAGGAATCCTGATGATCTTCAGGTCATGATGGGAGCAAGAAGGGCAAATATGGTAATTTCTAACTTTAAGAATAAAACATAAGACAGAACCTCAATGGGGATTTTAGCAAAGATAACACTAATCATAACAATAGAAACTTTTACAATTTCTAGAAACTTTGTAACCCTCCATATTTGCTAATTTTGCTGATGCTCTACTGAAAATTAGTAATAAAATCCATCAAACATAAAGAACCTGTTACTATTTGTATTCAGAGACAACATTTGTATCCAGAGATTGTTCCCACTCTATATCCAGTGTTGGGGGGCAGGGGAAGAATTCTAAGGAATAAAGCTGGTTGTGGCAGATTTAAAGAGAAAAGAAAAGCAGGCTAGGCATTTTCTTCTTCCTGTAACAAGGTAGGAAAGCAAATTTGGAATGCCTATCTAAACCTAAGACATGATCCCAAATGTTAACTGCAAAAATGTTGAGGGTTCTTAACAATGCAATTATTTGAACACTCTAATGTAAATCTCCGTGGTTAAACAGAGCTTGCCATATAGGTACAAGGGAACTGAAGTATTAAACATTTAAAACCATGTTGGTGGGAGAATGTATTCCTATTTCTGGACAGTATATTTCTAAGAATCATGAGGTAAATGGTGGAATGCATGAGAAAATTCAAACTTTGGTTTTACTCATCTTTTTCTTGCAAATGCAAAATGATATCAGATAATGCTGGAGAAACAACTCATGTCCAAGAAATAAGGACCACTGAGGAATCTGAAATAATTGCCTGTACTGATTCACAGTACATGTGTACTAAACCAGCCTAGTTTTTAGCTTCAGTGAGTTTTTATGAGGCTTAATAGAAACATTGAAAATTTAATACAGAAGTCACCTCTGCCAGGTCCTTTGCAATAAATACATGAGCATGTTCTTCATATATAGCTTGATTTGCAGTATAATGTAAATTACATTATAAAATCACAAATATAAGCTTAAAGAAAAGCAGTGATTAGAACAGAAATATGCTATTTTAATAATGTATTAAAATAGTCATGGGGATATAAAATACAACATAGGGAATATAGTCAATAATACTGTAATAACTATGTATGGTGCCATGTGGTATTAGAAATATGGGGAAACACTTTGTAAAGTATATGATCATCTAACTTCTATGCTGTACACCTGAAACTAATACAAAATAATATTAAATGTAACACAAGATGGCTGCACCCACAGCGGAGGCCGAGTTCCTGTAATCAGCCTTAAGGAGCAATCAGCAGGGTCCTGAGGCTTGTCAGGGGACCTCAGGCCCAGCCCCATATCACAGCACCCGGGCCGCGCCCCCTCGCCCCAGCACCGGGCCAGAGCTTGATGGGGTTCCTCAGGCCATGCTGCCTCCTACAGGGGGGCTTGACAGAGGACCTCAAGGTGCTGGGCCAGGGGACCTCAGGCCGCAACCCCCGCCCCAGCCAGAGCTGGGGGACCTCAGGCCACATCCTCCACTGGGAAGGGCTTGACAGGGGATCTCAAAGCATGCTCCCCGCCCCTGCACAGGCTAGGGAACCTCAGGCAATGCCCTCTGCCCTGGTGCTGGGCTGGGAGACCTGAGGGTGTGCTGGGGGACCTGAGGCTGCACCCTCCACTTGGCATGCACTGGGAGCCCTGAGGCTGTGCCCCACCCCCCCTTACCCAGCCAGTACCAGGCCAGGGGACCTGAGGCTGTGCACCCTCCCCCACCCCTGTCCCCACCCAGCCTGAGGCTGCGCCCCCTGTCTGGCAGGGCTTGACAGGGGGTGGGACTGGCTGGGTCTGGTCTCACGTGATTTGGAGGCATGCATGAGTGGGCAGGGACTTGACTCTGGGTCCTATGGTACACCCCAGACTTTGACAGAAGGAAGATTTTCATATACATTTTACTCATTTTCTTTCATCTCTGACATTTCTATTACAGAGAAAGGGCAAATAGCAATTATTAAAATATTTCCTCTAATTAATTTCCTTTTAATGTGCACAAATTTCATGCAACGGGCCACTAGTCTATAATAACACACATGCAGAACTCAGCTTGGAATCCCTTTCAGGCTCTGCTTCAATCTGCATTTGGAGCACTTAATTCTGAGAGGTAACCAACAGCACTCTCCTCATCAGCACACCTATTTCTTCTTCTGTTGGTTGCATTAAATGCCTCCTATGTGTCCAGTGGTTGGAAATTAAGAAACAAGCCACCCTCTGTGACTCCTGACCTGTTGTGACCCCACTGAGAAAGTCTCTCTAGGGTTCACTGGAAGCAGCAGGTAGATAAGAGAGATGTTGATCAATAGAAACCATGAAAGCGATTTTCCTATGTATTCAGGTTGGAAGCCAGGCATATAAATGCAAAAAGCTTCCGTATAACCAAACGTTCTCCTGATTAGTAAGCGTATCCAGTTGCCAGCAAAAAGAAAGTTCTCTTGCCAAGGCTCTTCTATTTCACCAGGCGCAAGTGAAAGCCACAGAAAAGGACAGGAACACAACAAGGAAAAAGGAATAGTACTCTGATGGATGTACCTACTCACTCCCTGCCTCCCAGCCCATCTCTAACAAAATGGCAGCTGCTTTAAAAAGAATCAACCAGTAAAGGGTCTGGTCAACTCTGACTTAAATGGCAAGATCATGCTTGTTGGCCCACAAAGTCAATGAGATTATCCCATTACCAATTCATGAAATCGTTGCTTCAGTAAGCAACTCCTTTTGGCAGTAGGTTCTCTGCACAACAGCCACTTTCTTTGTCCTTGCTTTCTTAACTTCACTATTTATGTGGCTAAAATGTTTTTAATACTAAAAACAAAAACAAAGAAAAAACACCCAGAAGAGATCCATACCACTAAATTTTATCCCCAAATAACTTTATTCCCATCAGTTTTTTACTGACCTCAATTAGTCATTTTATTCCCTTGTATCTCTCTTCCAGTGTGTAACCCTGCGCTAGCCTATTTTCTGCCTCTTACACCAGCGCCCATTAAGATGTTATCCTCAGGACCAGGACATTCTACACCACTTTATTTTCTTTCCCCGTCATAGGGCACTAGGCAAGAAGTCAGAAGACTTTGAGACCTTATAGACTAACTTTTCTACTTTACTCTTTGAACAAAGAATTGCAACTGGATGAAATGGGGAAAGGCTGCTTTTAAATTCTTAATGTCTTGGGACTACAAGTCCATTTTCTGCAAATAAACTCCTGAGCTACTCCAATTCACACTCTCAGTTACTACCTCCTAAGGTTGGCATAAAACCAGGTGCTCAATTAATAATAGGCAGTAAATTCCAGCAATTCCCAAACAATAGTGTGTGATGGAGGTTTCCATGGCTAAATGTAAAAAATAAAGATTATATATATGTATATATACATGCACATATATACATGTAAAACTGCCAACTGTTCTTTTTTCAAGATTCTAATTGTGCTCATTTCTCAGTATAAACTGAGGTTTTTACTATGAGATGATGGTGATTATAAATTATTTTGGTATTTCATTTGTTTGTCTTTTTAATTTTGTTTGTGTTTATTTAGCTAAGTAAATAATCTGACAACCCTGTAACAGTTCTCTAATTTTTATTATTATTACTATTAGGTTCACTCTCATAGCTGACTTTTCCTACCTGTGCTCTGCTTGCTTCAACTAAGGGCTTCCACCTCCAGCCTTCAGAGAACTGACTGGGGGAGGCTCTTCAACCAGGTCTGTGCCTGAAAGATTTCCATTCCCATGGCCTATGGCTGACAGCAGACAGGTTCAGCAGTGTGAGAGCTCATCTCTCTAGCAACTTTGCCTCCAGGCTTACTGGGACTGCACGCATGAAATTGCATCCTTGCCTGATTTCTTCCCTTCCCCAAAGCACTTCTCCCAATCCCATACTGGTCTCTCCAAGAGGATTTCCATAACAAATCACTTGCATAGGAATGGTCTTCTCAAGGTCTGCTTCTGGGAAACTGGACCCAAGCTCCATGACATCCCAAAGTCTGGAAGTCATGACTCTAGAGCTTAAGAATGGCACTCTATGCTTGTGGCCCTTCAATAGTTCATTTCCTACACTCTGGGATTCTCACTTCTTCAAACCCCAAGAGATCAGCTCATGATTTCACCTTTGCATGTGCTCTTCTTTCTCCACCTTTCCCATCCAAACTAAAGCCTCCTCAACCCTCAGTCTCAAAGTCACTTCCGCGGTGAAAACTTTCCTAAGCCCAAAACTTTCCTTCCACCAACACATGTTCTTTATAATCTCAGGGTCCTCTTCCATGCTGGTCTGTAGACTCTAAAGTACACAAGCCATATTTGTCTGGCTCTCTGCTTTGTTCTCAGACTGAACTGGCAGAGCAAGCAATGTTTCTGACTGTCCAAAAAGAATTCACCAAAATGAGAACAGTTACCGAATCCAGGCAGAAGATTGTGAAGTGTTTTTTCACCTATATATTTTCTTTTCTTTTTCTTTCCTTCCTTCCTTCCTTCCTTCCTTCCTTCCTTCCTTCCTTCCTTCCTTCCTTCCTTCCTTTTCCTTTTTTTTTTTGTATTTCCTAACAAGCTTTTTAAACAATGAAACATCTATTGATTTCATAATCAGGAAAATTAAAAAGACCCCTTTCTATTCTGCAATAATATATGTTGGTTAGATTCTTTCTCTCCTAAAATGAAATGGTATTTTCTGTAGAATAAAGCTAAAAATTAGTTAAGTGCATTAGATATCACTGTAAATAAAGCTGTCACTTTAGTCACTATCACACATTAGAGCTTCCAGCTAGGAACCAAGAGCATATAGATTTGAGGAAAGACATTACATGTTTCATAGATTTTTATCTCTAGATTTGGTTAGTATTTTAAGAAAATGATAGATAACTTTGTAGGAAAGAGGCAAAGAATGACAAGAGTCCAAAAAACCAATTTTTATATAAGAAAGGATTATGCCCAAAGTACTTTTATTTTCTCTCAGAAAAAAAACAACATACCTATGTATTAAAAGATGCTGTTTTTTTTTTGTGTTTAAAATAATTTGATTGAGACTGTCAAATCTCAGAGGAAAAGCAGGGGTGGGTGGATATGTGGGAAGAGACCAACCAAAGGACTTGTATGCTTAACCCATGGTCACAGACAACAGTGTGGTGAAGGTCTAGGGTGGGGGGTAAAGGTAAATTAAAAGGGGTCAAGGAGAAAAATAGGGGACATATGTAATTCTTTCAATAACAAAGATTTAAAAAAAATAATATGATTCATTAATAATATTGTTCACCATGAATTAGGAAGGCAGTTCTGAAAAGAACAATAAAGACCATACCAGGAGTCTCCAGCCTGAGTTGAGCTGTGCTCTGCATTTGTTTCCTGGGTGGCTGGGAGTGGATCCTCGGAGGTGAGGGGGCGGGGAAGGCAAAGAAGCAGTATGTCAGGTGGCAGCTGATCCCTGCCCCCACTGCTTCTCCACTGGCACCTGGGGTCCTACAATTTAATGGTGCCAACAAACTTGTTTGGGGCTAGAATAAACTCAAGGGCAGGGATTTTGTCTATTTGGTTCTTTGTTGTACCCTTAATAACTAGCATAATGCTTAATACAAGGTAGACACACAAATATTTAATGAATAAATTAATAAGGTGATATAAAGATTTAAAAAGTGATAATATCAACAAATAATAGAAAAATGGGCAAATAATATAATAGGATCGCTCAAGGAAAAGGAAATATTAGCAATTCTTAAACATGAGAAGATATTCAATCTCAGATAATAACTTTAACTTAAAATTAACATGAGACATTTTTTACTTACCAAATGGACAAAAATATTAAAATGTATTAACACATTCTGTAGGTGGGGCTTTGACAAAACATGTATGCACATAAATTGCTACTGGAAATATAAATATTAGAGTCTCTTTGGAGGTAGAGTTGACACTATATATTAAAATTACAAATGCAAGAAACTTGGCCCAGCCAAAACCCTGAGAATTTATCACACATGTGCACTCATGTGAAGTGACTCATGACAAGGTTATATACTGTCTTAAAGTTTATAAAAGCAAAAGTATGGAAATAACTGAGTACTCATCAATAGGGGAATAGTTAACAAGGTGGAGTACACATACATTGTGCATTACTTGCAACTGTAGAAAAGAATGAGTAAGCATTCTTTGCACTTCTATGAAAAAATCCGAAATGTACTACTAAATGAAACAACGTACAAAACAATATGAACAGTGTGCTTATTTTTGTGTATAAAGAGAATAAGACTATATTTGTATTTGCTTATATTTATATAAATAAATTCTGGAAAAATGCAAAGAAGTGAATAAAAGTGGAATTTTTTGTATTTTTTCAGGAGGGAGAGATGAGTCCTACGCTCATGGAGAACAGGGTACTATTTAAAATTATGCATTTTTTTAGGTTAATGAAATATGTGAATATACTAGTCAAATAATTATATATTAAAAAACCAGCAGATGAACTACCAAAACAAGAGAAAGAGAAATAAAGAGGCACTGCTATGCAAATTAATTATGTAAATAGTAAATTCTGTGACACACAAACTTCACAATCTCTTAATATTATGATGTGAGGCGTTAAGGGTATGAAGAATGCAGTAAATCTTCATACATGTGATCTTTCTTTCCCCATCAGAAAACTAAGGAACATTTTAAAAATCAGATCTGTTTAAATTACGTAGGAGAACGCTTCCAATAAAACAAGCCCTGCAGCATTAAAACAACCGACACCTTTCAGCCATATGACACGATCATTACAAAATGAGTCCTACCTTACTTCAGCCGATGGGCTTGGGGAGTAGGGATTCGCAGAGCAAGCTAGGATTCTAATGACCGCTCCAGGATGGTAGGTTTCCAGAACATGAACAGCTGTAGGATACACCTGCTGTTCAAAAGCAAGTTCCACGTAGTCTTGGCTCTGAAAATGAGGCGGTGTCCTCTTGAATGGCAAGGAAGCACTGGGACACTGATCCCACCATGTTCCGTAAGTTCGAAACACAGCTGTCTGAGTGAAGTCACCAGAATTCGGGAACACATTTGGGACACCTGCCAAGTTCCTCATGGTATAGGACATACTATTCTCACTTCCATAATGGGAACTGAAATCCACCACTTCTTTGGCATACTGGACCACCTCTGCATTCAGAGGGGAAGTCCGGCTATTTGATTCCATGGCTCTATGGCTGTTCATCATTTCTCCCCTCGCAGCTGTCCTGGCTCGGCGCCGCAGGCATAGATAATAAAACATGGTCAGAACTGTTAACATGGGGAAGACTGGTGACATGCAGATGTGAATTATGAAGCTTCAAAAGGTCAGGTGTCTTCCATAAGATGCATAAACTCTCTGAAGGATGTTCTAAAAAAAATTGAATGGCTTGATAAAGTAAAATAATTTAAATAAGCATAAAATGCATAAAAATGAAGTAATAAGTAGACTTTTTACCCAATGTAATTTCTGAGAATGAAACTGGAAAAAAAAAACTCACTGTAAATGTGAATCTTTAGTATAATCTATCTAATGTATTTTTAAGAAATCCAATATTGAAATGGATACAATTTTATGCTATATGAGAAACAAAACTAATATTATAAAAACAATGAAAGATGTATTACCTCAAAACTCCCATTTTATACAAAATTATAACTATCCTTCAAGAAATACTAAGTTTAAACTTTAAAAATTAAAATTATTTAAAGTATATGACAAAATACTAAAATATTGCTATAAACTGAAAAAAAATCTTAGACATTTTTAATTTCATTTTTTTAACAAGTGATTCCCTATTGTTAATTATTATTCATGCCAAAGCATGAGGAGTACAGATCTCACATTATGGGAATATAGTTTTCTGGAGCTGACAGTTAATCCAGACCAACTAAATTAACTGCCTTACACATCACAGATCACCAGACAGTGTTTAATTTATAGCTCTTAGCATTATTTGTTAGGGCGGTCTATGGCTGGCTGGCATCTGGTTTGTTGCCAGCCACTCTTAGAAATCACTCACCCCCAGATAGAAAGGTCACAGGATATGCAAAAGTTGGCATTCATCCATGCAGCCTGAAAATGGCACATTGACTTCAGGTACAAATGTTGACATGTGACATTCTTTTACCTGTTAAATAAGAATTTTTAAAAATATTTTAATTTTCAACTTAGGAAGTCAACTATCCCAAAAGATTTATCATTGATAAACAGCTACCAATTAGACAAAACTTTCAAACTGAATAGGTCACACTTTTCTGAATTTGTGGACTATTACGAATAACTAATATATCTTGTTAATTTTATGGAAGAATGTATAAAAACATAATAATGAATCCTTTCTAAATAGATTTTGTAAACCCATAGCTTATAAGTCAAACTATACCACAGACATTTTATTGGGACTAGTTTTTTTTTTTTTTTTTAAATTTGACTAGCTTGCAATTTTTAACAATCACAAGGACCCCAGTTAGAAGAGGTCTGAGCTGCCATTATTTTTGGCCAGCCTACCAGTTCACAGCCAAGGCTTGACTCTGTCCATATTGAGTAGTTAACTTCTTATCTACACAAATAAGGAAATCAAACATGCTTATTTTTGTATCTGGAAAGTCTGGAGCTTAACTTCTCCTAAGTAAAAGAAGAGGAATATACTAATATCTCTTTAGTAGAACAATGTGCTAGTCTTTTAAAACTTTAGCGTTAAGATTATAAAACATCATAATTTATAAAACACATAAATAGGCTTATTTTCTGCTATCTGCTGGTATCATCTTTGTATCAGATATATAAACTAGCTCCACATGGGTCTACATAGAACTAAATTTATTGAAGGAGGGAATCTAGCCAAAAACCTTCAGTTCTCAAAGTGCTCAGCACATAGTAAAAACAAAGTATCTGACTTGTTGTCAGAAAAGGAAATAAGCACACAAAGAATTTATGTCTAAAATAATTAAAAATTACCTAACAGCATCCTTCTATTTCTCAATCCCAGCCAGACCCAAACCCAGTAAAATGCTTGGCAAAATGTAACAAGTAAAACAGTAAATAAATAGCTGAGTTTGAAACAAGTTAGGAAAATCCACAGTTGTGAGAAACAGAAGAAATCAAAGTCAAAGAGCAGGAGCTGAAGCTAATATGACTCATGGCACCAGTTACAGGCCTTAGTGGTTTTAAGGTGTCACAGATGCCATTTGGAAAGCCAAAACTCAGCAAAGATCACCCTATCCATGAAACCAGGAATATGAAAACTTAGCTCACTGGCCAGGAAGCCCAAGATGTAATATCAACCTAGGGAAAGTCACCAGTGTAAAATCAGACCCTTATTAGGCATGTACTATGCACACAATGTGAAACTAAGTTCATACTTCCTTCATGGTTTAAAGTCCATTCTCCATCCCCAAGTCAAAAACTTTACAAAGAAGTAGTCCTGAGCCGTTAATACTTCAGGGCCTATTAGGGGCAGATGGGAACCATCTTTGCAGGGATGCTTCCACAACACAGGACAGAGGTTAAACCCTTTCTAAAGATTTCAGTGCTGAAGAACAGATCATGTTATAAATGTGGGGAAAATAATTACATAGCAGATCACTTGCTTATACAAACATCTCACCTACCACAAGTAAAAATCTGTCAAGTAAAAACAAAAACAAAAAAACTTACAACTGCACAAATATCAAATCTTTTACAACAAAATATGAAATGACACAGCTTTCTTTTACCATGTATATTTTATTTTAAAATAAGCCCCCAGGTAAATTAAGAAAAATAATTTTCCAAAGAAGTTACTTAGTCACTCTCTTTCTTAAAGGAAAAAAGTAATGAAATAAATTTAAATTATAAAAATAAAATTTAGGAAATAAACAACAATGTATAAGTATCCAACTCAATAAACTGGCCAACTAATTTGGGAAACTAGATGCTTTATTCCTAGAAATTTTCAAGAGAAGGAAATACCACTTGCCAAGGTGGATGGGGATGCATTTGACTGTGTAATCTTTGGACATCACTGCTCACTCACTCCACAGCCTGTAAATTACTCACCCAAGCTCTTTTCACTCTCTTTATAAAACAGCATTTATCAAAAAGAAAAAGTTCTATAAAACCAAAGAAACATCTGCAAATTAGATATCATTCATGTTCATATTCTTGACGAAAAGATTGAGACAAATTGTTAAAGTCAAATTCTATTTGACATACAAACCACAAACTTTACAACTATTTCCCAGCTAGCTCTTAACACTATAGAGATGGGATACTAGTAAAAGTAGCAAGTGTCATATGTGCAATGTCATTTTTAGGCTGTTAAATAAAATTTCATATTGAGGCAACATATATAAAAGTGAGTTACAAACTATATTACATGTTCAAATATATTCAGTGTACAAGAGAAATGTAAATGGATGCTTTATTTTTTTTCCAACAATAAATAATCTTTAGAGTTAATTTTTTGAGATAAAGCTAAAAATAACCAAAAAAAATGAAAAAGCAAACAGCAATTATTCAAAAAAATAAAATTAAAAATCTGTTTTTGAAAATAAATTAGATACAGAAAAAAATGTGCAAACCCATTGTTATTAACGCATTTCACTGATTCTAAACTCTATCAACTAAGATCATATATAAAAGTGTTTTGGTAGTAGAGAAGAACATAAGAGAGAGAATAACTTCATTCCCTGGTAAATGAAGCTGAAAAGAGGGAATAGAGTCATAGTCTTGGGACACATGTGGACAGCAGCGACCAACGCAGAAGTTCAAACTGTCCATGTACTGTTTGGACCTTTGCCAAGGAGTGGAGGTGATTTGTGATAACCAATGTATATCCTAATGAGCAATAAACCAATGAACAAGATACAATAACTATTTTGTTAAAAGAATGGGATTTAAAAACAAAATTATTTTTTCCACCTGGTAAAAATTAGTCTCGTACACTAAATTTTTCCAAAAGGACGCTTATAAAATATATATCTTTGGAAAACATTTTCTTTTCAGTTTATTCAAAATGCTTCTTTAAAGACTCTTGCAACATATAAAAATAACATTTTCCATTTAACAAAAAGTCTAAATTAAAAATAGGCTAACCTTTATTTTATTACTTGTTTAATCCAATCTGCAATGGTTATGAAGTGAGAATTCTCGGCAACACAATGAACTTTTATACTCAACATAATCAAGGAATACAAAACAAAAGCCATTTAACTTGTATCCTGAGACCTTCATATTCTTTGGGAAACAACTTGCTTTATAGGACATGATTTTATTATAATGTTTTATTTTCAACTACGTCTTTCATATTATAAACTGCTTACCAAAGTTAAATAATACCATTACAGAGAAAGCAGTAACAGTGGGAAAGAGAAATTAAGCGGTACAGACAAGGGAGAACATATGTTTACCACTGAGATTTGAAGTGAGAGGGGGAGTCGATGAGGCGGAGAGAAACAGGATGGCAGAAACTGCAGAGAAGACGGCTTGTACTTCAGTAGAGGAAAAGGGAGGAAGGAAAAGGACTTTCATGAAATAAGCAAAAGGAGGCAATGGGAATGAACTTGACTGAGCCAGAGCCACACAAAGGCTAGGTTCATAGCGTGATAAAGTAACCTGGAAAACAAATTAAACACTCAAGAGTATTCTCGACTTAAAGTGAAGGCACAGAAAAAAGATAAAAAGGACAGGAGGCAATAAGGCAGTGTCTTATATTGAAGGCAGTCGTAACACAATACTCACTTGCAAAATATCCCACAGAGACACGTCAATGACGTGAGAGATAAAAAGAGCATTTAGGCAGCTTTGTAGCATAGTAGTACCAAAAGGTAAGAGTGTATAATATGGTACCAAGTCAAGAAAACAGGCCAATCTTAATTGTTGTTTCTGTGTACTGCTGAAACTGATCAAGAGACACTTTTGAGGAAAGGACTTTCCTAGTTGAGTCTAGAAATCAAGACACGGGCAATGGAGGAAATGATTAAGAAGAGTGGATTATGGGTGAACTTGGTGCAGAGTTGACACTCATAACCAGCCCTCTTTGCAGGCCTGCCCCCTCTCTGGATTTCTATGGCACCACATGCTCTTATATCTCCTCCCATCGCTCAAATAACTGCTTCTCAGTCTCCTTTTGGGTCTTCTTTTTCCTCATTCTCAAGTATATTAAGGTACCACTAAAGGGAGGCTGTCTTTCTGATAATATGATACACTGCAACATTCCACCTACCTGGCACCAGTCTTCTCCCACATTTGCTTCCACCCCCAGTCTGCACTCAGGCTTTGCCACTAAGGCTGGGTTCCCCTGGAACAACCACCCT